ATCTCCTTCTTTCCCATATACCATTTTCTCTTCCCCTCTTTTCCTCTAGGGTCGTCATCTTTTTCCCTTTCAATTTCTCTCATTTCCTGTTTCATCTGTCCCTGCAACTATCCTACTTCTTTTGTAGACAGAAGTAAAATCTGGACAAGTGAAAATTTAAAAATACACTGTAATCAGAGCCTGTCCCTTTTAGCATAGGAGTCCATCAAACAGAGTAGTCTTCGTGCGCTCCTTCAGTAGTCAAAGTTTTTTTTTCCATATAACTAGCCAGAAATGGATTTCCATAGTGACTGGCAGATCAAGAAGTGAAACAGAGAATAACTAGTTAGAGGGGGGGAAATTTGCCATCAGTCACTAACCGGAAGCATGGGGAGACAAAGAAGGGTCACATCTCCCAGAGGAAACAATTCATAATGTAGCTGGAGGTGGGTAAAACATTGAAGATAGAGCAAAAATCAGATGGAGCTCCTGGCTGCCGGGAACAGGACATATTAGCGTCCCCATTAGTATTACTTAAACATGAAGTTTTTCTTAAATGGAACACTGTAGTATGTGTTACTGGACAAGTACTGTTAGTACCTTTCACTATACCAACAGCCGTGATTGAAATGGTGCGACTAACATACATTGAACACACTACTAAGTAATTAAGGCTGTGAGACTATCCACATTAAATCTCATTGCACAGCCTCAAAACTTACTGATTAGTCTAATTTTTTTTAATTTGTTTTGCAAACTGTATTCACTACTGATTCTATGTGGGGAAAAAAAAAAAAAAAAGACTACTTTTCATCCAGAAAATCTTCTAGTAGGCTATACATTCAAGTAAATAAGCACTGGTCTTCCAGGAAGTCACTTTCTTTTTATCCATCATTTCTTTAGAAAAAATACTTACATGTATCTATTCTACAGGACACTAAAATACCACATATCTTTTAGAAACGAATATACAGTCAATCCTACTAAAAGAACCCCCACAAAATAAAATTTAAAGCTGCTGGTGCCCATTTCTGAAAGCACACTGAGCAAAATTCCAATGTTTCAGCTCTGGCTGAGGAGAAGAAAGAGATAAGAATACCTGTGCACATAGGGATAAAGCCCTATATCATCGCATAAGCCAGACATAAGTTGGTGCGCAAAAAAATAATTTGGACAATACTAAATTATACAGGTGAAAGAAAAGACTAGGTGCCTTATTCAAGCTCACAGAAGTCTGTGGCTAGGTTAGATCATCTAGTCTAGGAAGATACTTGAGAATGAAGGCGGCCTATTGTTTCACTACAAACATAACCTTTTAAATACTGACAAAGATTCCTGGGGGTTAAATTAACTTTTGCCAGGCACTGAGCCTCTACGGGTTCAAAGATACCTTAAAAACACTTAACTTAAAAGCCACACTTAAATCCCTGAAGAAGCAGAAAAATTAAAAAGCAATTAAATAGGAGATTCAAAAAAATCAATACAACGTATCACTTTCTTTAAGACAGCTGTAACTATCGAAGAGAACTCATTAACAAAGATGGTACAGAAGCCCAGAGTTTGGAAGGACTGAAAAAATCCCAAACCCCACAACAAAATCATAGACCGAGCAGTAACACCCAACCTCAGCAATGAAAACAAACACTGAAAAGAACAAACCCTCCAAACAACTGAGATTTGGAGAAGAGGTTTCTTTGGAAGCAAGGGGGTAGGGAGAAGCTCATTATTTCTCAACTGCCACAGAGGAGCTAGCGAGCTATGAGAAACAGCTATTACTTGCTGCAGATCGCAGCAGAGTATGATACTGGAGCAACACAATTCCTGTGTTCCCTCAGTACCTCAAAATTGGCAGTATTGTCTTGGGAGTATCTCCTCTTTAACACCATCTGAGGCGAGTACTTTTTCAATAAACATGTATTAGTCAGCTTAAGGCTGCAAAATCGCATGAGAGAACGTGACCTGGCATTATAGTCCCGTTCATTAGAAAGCATCCAGAATGCTTCGCGTCCTGTCTGGAGGGGACCTACTTCATACAATTTTTATGTGTAATTACATACATGGTTTGCACATTACACCATTGCAATTAACTGTCTGTCCACGTGCAACCCACACACTGGCTGCTGAGAAAGATGCTAAAACATCACATAGTATTTCTTTGTATATACAATACTCGATTTCTTTTCCCCCTCACAAAGAAACCTCCATAAATCAGTGAAATCAATAAAAGATGCCTGGAAGAGTCCAAGATGCATCCCATCAAAAGCTATTCTTTGACAATTTCTTGTCACACTTTTTTAAAAAAATAATTTCAGGGTTGATTCTTGCCTTTGTCATGATGCCTTAAAAAAATTAAGTCACGGCTAGGCAGTTGGCATGTCAAGATTCGTGTAAATCGCGCCAAGCATAAGATTAAGAATAAATATGGTAATTGTTTTAGTGAGACTGAAATTCTCTTGCACTCAAACACAGAAATGGGTGTCTCATTGGAGTCCCAACTGATAAATAAATCTGAAAGCATGCTTCTTTTTCAAGCAGAGACCCTGCCTGAAAAACATCAGCCCCGCTACAGGACTTCAGAAGTTGCAAGGCATCCATAAGACAGAGGGCTGCTTAGACAACGTCAGGACAGCGTTATTTCTTGTTGACTGTTGTATCTGTATTTTAGATAGCAGCAGCAGTGGATACTGTGTATCCCACATTCATTTTTCAGTTCAAACCTCATATTCCCAATACTGCTAAGAAAAGTCTCACCTTCTTTGACTTGACAAGGAGATGCAAAATATCCCAAAAAGTGAAAAAAAAAAAAAGTATAAGAGCAATGAGTATCACCCATTAAAAATGAGAAGGCTTGTACATAGTTTAGTCTGACTTCCCAAAAATTCACGCTAATGGATTTTGTTTATTCATGCTTTCAAACACAAAAGTTTGACTCCAAGACGGTTCTAACTATACAGACACTCGGCTTTGACCAAGCAAGTCAAAATGAACAAGTAATTTTACAAGCTCTCCCCCCTGCCAAATTTAGTCATTTTAAGTCCTACAGAGTGAGCTTAAAAAAACAACCCTAAACGGAAAAAAAAGCATCAGGTTAAGAGAAAAATAGAAAACAATTCTAGTAATAGCAATCTTCAAACAAACCAACCAACCAATCACTCCCCCACCACTGCCCTGTAGTTTGAATATTAGCCAAGCACATATATGTGAGAAAGATACAAAGCAGATCTAGTTCCCTAATGAATTTTCATATCGTTTAAGACCTAAGGATTATTCTAATTACCTATCTTATAGAAACAGGCTAAGTCCAGTACTGCAACTGCTCCAGGCATGAAACCCACAGTTAAGTCTGCAGAAATTTAATTCATGGGGCAGCTGCAGAATCTAGTGCTACTAGTTTGGCAGATCTGAGACAACTTCTATAATGCAGGAAAAGCCTGAAATGTTGCTTTTACTGACGCTGAGAAAATATCAACCCTGACTAACAAGGGTGGAGTACATTTTTAAAGGAAATGAATTGAATTTAGCTCAGCTCTTGGTTTTCATTCCCTTTCTACCTAAACAAACTTCAGTTTGACACACTCAGCTGGTCACAAAAAAAACCCCTATAGCTACAAAGTTACTGCACAAGACCATTTTCTCCTGGATATACCTGCCCTATTTTCAGAACTCAAAATAAACTTCTGAAAGTTTGTGATGATCAACACTGTCTTAACCAAAAAAAAAAAAAAACACACATAAACCAACGCTGTATATATGTATAGATTCTAAAAATCAGAGCTTAGCCAGGAAAGTGCTCTAGAGACAGTGGCATGCCACTGTTTTTGGTTAAAAACACAATTTTAAATGAACAGTGATTTTTTTCTTTGAAAGAAATCTTGGAGATGTACTCAAAACAACTACATAATGTTTACATGTTATTTTTCCTAGCTAAACAAGGACATTTGCTTACCAAAACAAAAAAAAAAACAAAATGTGTATTTTAAATGAAGACAGCAGGTTCTTACAGAATACTTTTTTTATCCTTGCAAAGCATTATGCCTTGCAATTCTGGATGAAGGGGAAAAAAATTAAAAGACCTTAAAAGAAGAAATAAATTTTCTTCTTATACAAGATTTAATATAAATTTCTCTTACTCTCCACAGCATTCCTACAATGACAAAAAACCCGAAATTTAGATCTTCTCCAATGCTTTGCTGCTAAAGCCTCTTTTCTTCCTTTTGGTACTTCAATAGTATCAGCACTGGGTTCTCAAATTCAAGCCCTTCAACTCTTTGAAGAGTCTCTTCAGCCTAGAATTTTGTTGCAGCTCTATCCGCACAATTTTTCCCACCTTTCTCTCATACTTTTTTCTTTTTCTTTTAAGCACTCTCTCTTCCATTTCACATTTATTTCACATTCCTCTTCTATTTTTACCTTTTATCCCAAATACCCAGTGGTCTCAAAACATTCATGAGTTAAAAACCTCGCTCTCCCTACAAACCCCTCCCAGTCATCACTTAAATATATCTGCACCTTTTCTACCAGTTCCTCCTGTCTCTTTTTCCATAAGCAAATGTGAAGAGAAACACTGGTCCCACAGCTGGGACCGATCTTGAATGCTGCCTAAAAGGGATCAGTCTTTAACAACTTCAGCATTCAAATTCTAATTCAAGTTTCAAACTCAAAACTAATGGGAATTCTGCATGATTCTTTCTGAGGCAAGAAATTCATCTTTATTTACAAATTGTAAAGTAATCACACAGATTTGCTGATCAGCCAAATAAGTACATAGTAAAAAAATCTATTCAAAAATGCACCGATATAAAGTTCTAATCCTGTATTTTGAAGGGGCTTAAAGTTGTTGAGGAAAAAAGCAAGGAAAAAAAAACCATCTTTGGGGGGGATGATTTAGGGAAAGGGAATTTTACAGCATTTTATTGCATTTTGTAAGAAACCTATGCTGCACATGAAAGAAGGTGAGAGATCCAAGTTCAGGAACACCGATTTTTCCTCATTAACTCAACAACATGGTTAACACTACCTACCTGAATCATCAGCTAGTCTGCTGATTCTCTCCAACACAGCAATACAATCTCTCTCATCATCACTGACTTCCTTCAAAGTGTCGAGCAAACTTCGAGCCACCATTTGCCTAGTTTACAAGAAAGATTAAAAAACAGCATTATTTGTGTCCAGAAACACATCTAAATCAAAAAGTCACGCAATCATACAAGTTTCTTAAACCAAACAGTAAAATTTTACATAGGTTCATTTTTAACTCAGTAACTTTAGTTAGTACTGCTTTAGGAATACTTAATTTTGATGTTCAGCATAATTCTAAAGAACTATTAACTTCAAATGTAACATTAAAAGTAGCCCTTCAGTTTACAAGGATAATGGAAACCAGCCACAAAGCTAACAAATGGTAATTACTTGTCGAGTGAACACACACGAGCCGAATGTTGGACTCCTAACTTGATTCATACAAAGTAAGGCAACATCACTATTGTCAGGACAGTTTTAAATAGAATTATGAGCTTATTTTCACAAATGAAAGTATGAGCACTCAAGCTGAAGATTTCCAAACCAATGATGACATTCGAAAGCTATCCTTCATTCAAATGCTATACAGAGAAACGTGCACACACTGTAAAAATAAACAGAACACACGCACAAGCATGTGCGATTCTTGGGACACATATAAAGCAAAGTAGCAAATGAAAATTAATTAAACGTGAAACAAGTCAGGGTCGCTCCATTTACAACTGCCAAGTCATGAGAAATTTTTCTAAGGGTTAACTTGTCAATGACAAGATACAATCCAATTTGGATTTTTGTCCTGCTACTGTTGCAGCCTTTGGCTTGAATTCATACCTATCAGCTACCTGGGGAGTCCTTAACATTACGTTTTTAAACAACACAGCCGACAACATGTGTCAGCCAACCTTCCTTCTCAAAAACAGCTTGCAATGGCACATGGCTGTCTCTTTAATGCCATTTTTCACCCTTTTGAGCAATGTGGGTGGAACACTCACTCACTAGTTCAAAGAGCTATCAGGATTACCACAACAGTTGAATGGATCAAGAAACACTGTCCAACACACTGCTAACTCTTCTGCTGCCCTTGAGCAATTTATCAAAATGCCGAAGCAGCACAGGACAAGCGTCAGATATTTCCAGAACCGATTGATGGAATTACTGTCAGGAGGTAGCCTAGATATAACACTGTTGACAAACAGAAAGGCAGTAAGCAACAGCAGATACATAAACTCTCCCACAGAGTTTGAGGACAAACGAGGAACGTGAAAGACTGCCATGAAATGATAACAAACAGATGGTTACATTCCTGGTGTATAGGACACCTTGCGAGCTCTACAGTTCCATGTGACCGGAGAAGTCTACTGACATTTCACGAATGCCCAAAATTAAACAGACTTTTAAATGTTCTCAAAGTGGAAATCAGTAATTTACATGTTTCACATGTGAAACAAGCTGCAAAAACTCTTTGCAGAACAAATTTCCCTTTCCTCATTCTACTCAACTTTCACCTTGGTAAAAAATGCAACACTTCTAGACAGAGAACTTGATTTTCAGTTTGAAGTTCAGCTAGGGAAACAAACTGTGTGACGCACTAACCTAGAAGAAGAGTTGAGTTGGTCTTTTGAAAGGGCTGGACTCCTCTGAAAAGAGAAGAGGAACTGATGAAGTGTATTTCATATGCCAGCCTGCCTGGATGCATGTCTCTCATACAGATCAAATACAATTTTGGAAAGAGAGAGAGAGAGAGAGAGAGAGAGAGAGAGAGAGAGAGAGAGAGAGAGAGAGAGAGAGGTCAGTTGACCCGCTGAGTTGGAAGTTTGAGACCACTGATGCAGACACAACAATCTTGACCAGAGAACGGATGTGAGCAAATCTAGCTATAAGAGGTGTTCACCAACTCCTTGCACAATTGAACTGGAACAAACCACCCAGATATTACTGTAAGCTGGCCCTGGAGACAGAACTGACTTCTAGAATAATATGCTTCAAATTAAATATATTGCCTATTTCCTTTTATCCTGGTGACTCCACAAGAGCTGCAAATCATATTAGGCTAACCACCTCAAGCACCTCTTCTATTTCAGATACAGCTTTCTTGCCACTTTCTATTCTTGGGAATTTCCCACTGGAAACACACTCCTTATACAGCATATGACAAGACAATATCCAAGCTGTCTGGTGCAATGACTGAGTCTGGATATCTACTCGACATTTGCACTCAGAATATTCTACCTGTTAAGTCAGGGATGGATGGACATCCAAGTATGAAAACAGTCACAGTGAATAAGGAACCTCAACAATAGCCAGCACTACATCTTATCTGGCTCATGCGGACTCTGGAATGGACCCCTACCATGCTGGGCATTTTAAAAAGACTCAGCACCATGAAGAGCCTTGTTAGCAGTATCCTGACCTGTGGCGGCTGGATCCCACTGAGAGTCTTTGGTACTTCCTCTGAGATGTGAAATGGCTACGCAGAAATATACACCATGCAAGAGACCACAAAAGCTTCTGCTCAAAAGAAGGAGACGAAAACATAAGTCATATATCTACTTCACATATGGTTTATCTACTAAATCCACTCAAAGCTAGGAAGGGACATTCACTTTTTTCCCTGTACTGAAGATAAATAATGCCTCTCACACGTACCCCAGTGGTACTCCTCTTCGGCAGTTAAAGGAATCAACGCATCCAATTTTGCTTTCGGCAGGTTCTTGTAAAAGCACTACAGTAGAAAGGTAACAGGGCAAGCTAGGCTCATTTGTAGAAAACACAACGGGATAACTAGACAGTGATGACAGGTAGTCTCTAACTATGCCTATCCTGCATTCTGGGAGATGAAGTCCACTTGTGTCCTCTAAACACTATGGGCTCTGATCTAGTTCTCCCACTATCCCCAACAATCTTTCAAAATTCTTTGCGTGCCTCCAACGTGCAAACATAGGACACAGAAGAGAACCTACCTTGCACTTGCCACAGACTGAGAGCTAGCATTTAAGCAAAAAATGAGGAATGACTTTGGGACTGCAAGCTCATGCTTGAACACGCTCTGCTTACTGGAGAGCAGAGAGTAAGCAAGTCTCCCTGGTGCCCTGTCTAGCAGTCTGATGTTTCTCATGCAAGCACTGGTGGTCTAGCCACAAAATGCATACTACAGAGGACTGCAATAAAATACCGATGCACAGTAGCATACAAGGCTAGTGGTAGCCTGCCCAGGAACTGAGAGATGAGTACCAGCATTTGTGTAAGTGTAAGAGAGCTCTGAAGGATGAGCTGCCTGGTCTAGACACAGACACAGGAGGGAAAAAAAAAAAAATAAAATCAAGTGAACTTACTTCATGCTCAAGAAAGGCAAGAAGATACACGTGACAGGAAAAGGGACGAAAAGATTTCCTCTGGGGATAATGCCAACATGTGCAGTACTTTGCCTGCTTTAATCTCCAGAGTGTTTTCTAACAGGGAATAAGACTTCTCCAAGTACACATATGACAGAAATGACTCCATCAACATTAATGACAACGTCAGTGGTTTCCCACTGGCACAAATCTGTTACCTGTACATTGCTCTCGGTTATCAAGCCATGAGCTGAGGCTAGGCTTAATGATTTCCTGCCCTTCCTTTCTTGCTTCCAGCAAGGGTTTGTGCAGTGCTTGCCCCTCACCTCATACCAAGTTCCTGTCTTCATTGCTCCAAACAGAGCTACGTCTTTTCTCCCATTCAATGAGATCTGGCACCTGACTCCTCCAGGTCCAAACACGCTTTCGCTAGCTGCTCTGGCAAGTGAAACTTGCAACTACTTAAACATTAAACAGGTGACTAGCCAAAGAAAGAGCACGGACTGAAGGCTGGAGCGTAGCATGCAGCAGAAACACTTTAGCTATTATATGCAGACGTGGAAGATAATTAGCAACATTCAGGTTCATCTGTTCAAGTTTTCATGAGCAAGCATGGAGAGAGTTTGTTCAAAGCTAGAAAACTGAGGGACTCGCAGTTAGGTTACGTTAAAGGCACCACTTCATCGCTGTCAGCAGCAGGAGAAAAGGGGGACAGATTATAAACACCCTACCTTTATGTCCACATGCAGGGTACAGATATTTCAAAGACTCCCCACATAAGGACATAATTGGGATTTACAATGATATACTCGGAGAAGAGCTATAAATACCTTTGCTTTGCTCATGCAAACTCCTTTTATACACTGACCTTATTTGGAATCTGTACTGAGGCTTCTGAAAGGCCTAACTACAGCGTACCAGAGGTCTCCCACTTACCATTATTAACTCTTTAATAAATCTCTACTATACAGTATAAAAGGCACAGAGTTCATTTGTACAGGAGGTGCATTTAGCAAGCATACAAAAGAGAGAGAGAGAATGAAATAAGACATTAATTTTTCTTTTCATATTTAAGCATAAGTTCCAAATCAAGATTTGAAGACTTTTCAAAATTATATGAGCATTATTAGTAGTAGCTTAGCTTGGCACTTTTTTCCCCCCAAATAATCTCAGAACATGTTCTCAATCTACTCCCAATTTCAAAGGAAACATCTCTGTACCTTTCTTAAAAGAACAGCTAAATGGACATAGAGGTTCATGCCCTCTTAGCCTTTGTAAATATAAGGAGTATTTTTGAAGTGGGAAAATTAGACATTTAATAGTTCAGCTTATACTAACATGATTTTAACATACATTTCTAAGGTACACTTTATCTATTTCATGAAATTTAAACTCGAATAATTGTTATTTAGTATGCATGTGTCTATCATTTTGTGTGCAAAAATATGTTTGGGGGTTTTGTTTCATTTCTACTGAATTTATTCTCTGACATACAGTGGGGTGAGGGAGACTGGACGACTGGAAGGGACAAAATAGAAAAGAGGAGCAAGAAACTAATTTATCCTACAACAGCAAGTTCTTTGACAAATATAGTCAGAATTAATTCCATTACAGCTTCATCTGCATCACTTTGGCATGAGTTTGGCATTTTCTTATTGTCAGTGTCCACCAAACATCCAAAAAAGGGGAGGTTTACACTGGGCTAAGCTGCATAGACTGAAGGAAAGGGAGCGGGGTGAAAAAAGGGCAGCTGAGGAAGACAAGTTCTGAATCAATTTGTTGGCTATAATATGATCATACTTACATGAAAAATGAGGCACAGTATTTTCTTAACCTTTAGGAAGGTCTTGATACGAGTATCAACATCCCACCAAACATACTGCCTTAGAGAAGTTGTTGATACGCAGTGCAGCACAGAAGGATGAAAACAGCATCCTCCTGTTACAGTGGGGGTACTTCCTGCATGCAAGTCCTAGTTGTCAACTATAGGGTAAAAATGGTGGCCCTGTCCCTGCTCAACAGAGTTGAGAAAAGGAAGGGCTTGCAGCATGGTCCTGAGACACGGATCTCTAAAAATTCATCATTACCTTTAATTCCTCAAAAAGAAACTGATTCCTCACTTCCTAAAAAGCCTCATTCCATCACAGAGTATAGATTCTGAAGATATATAGATTAGATCCAATACATCTTCAGTAACTGCTGAGTGCTGCTCTGTCAGTACTTCAAAGTTCAACTGTTTCAAAAAATAGCAGGTATTTTTCAGAGAATAGCAGACAATTAGAAAGCATCCTGAAACATCTGACAGTCACCATGGTCAATACTGGCACTTAGATGAGCCTCTTTCTGCAGAAGAGTATGCCTATAGGATGGGAGACAGTTACAGGGTTTCCAAATCTGTCCCCACTCAGTCACAGGAAATACGCTGTGCTTCTGATAAAAGAAAGGAAGGAATAAGCTCTCTCATAGCTGAAAATGCTACAAAGTTTGTCCCACCTTTGGAAGGCTCCACTAAGTTTTCCAACAACAGAACTCTTCTAAAACTCCCTTACAAGTAATATTCTTCTCTATGGGGAAACCAAAGAAGTACTTCAGAACAGGAAGAAGCATGGATACAAGATGGTAACTTAAAAATATCTATATTCATAGCCAGGACTGATCATACTGAAGGATGCGAGTCTGCCACGATCTGCTTTGTTTTGAAGGGAAAGGGCAGTCACAATTCCTTAAAAAGTAGGCTGATCAAAAGCAAGGGCCTGCCGCTAAGAAACTATCTCCCTTTTCAGGCAGATCTATTGGTAAGTGCTGTACACTTCTGAGCCTTCTTAATGAGGAACAGAAGCAGGTTAATGGCAAGAAAGTCAAGGAAAATTCAGAGGATTATTCCAATGAGAAGGGGAGGTAAAAAAAAACAAAACTATGCTCCAATCCGCACCAGCAATTGGTTTCTAAAGCAAATAACAAAAAGGGTGTTTTTGTTATCCTCATCCACGTCATGCATGCACGTGAGTGCTGCCAGACACAAGGAGACCCTGCTTTTCAGGGCGAAGGCCTCGGCTCTCTACTATGCATCTTCTCTTGCTGCAATATGACATCGGATTATTAAGGCATGTGATAGACATGCTTCTCAAATCTGTTTTGGAGGTTGTCTTTTCAGTTCATTAATAAAACATAACCGTAGCCATACTTGCCTTGGTTTTCAGATGCAAGAAGGATCATCTGCCATAACATTTGTCAGGTTCCCTTCCAGTCTCAAAGACTAAGACAACATCTGTGGTGCTTGATCAACAACACTTAAACAGTGAGAATGGAAACAACATGCCCAAATTGGCACACAGCAACTCCTCCCAGCAAGCTTTAGTAGCTTTTAGTAGAAAGCTACTGAAGGTTTCCCTGCCTCACTCTTTCTTCACCCTATCAAAAACCATACATGTGTAAATAAGGAAGAAATTCCTCTTTGCGAGTTCAAGTCTCATCTGGTAATATTTCTTAGGATGCAGACATAGTTCGAGTTTCATCTCAGAGCAACAGGCTTTGACCTCCAGACGCCAGCTAAGCTGGAGTGTTCAAGGAACCCACTCAAAGGCAACTAGGATTCTGTGTTAATTGTTTAAAAAAAAAAAAAACAGTTTCACTGTAATCATTCACTATAATCGTGTACTACAAATGTGATAATGTGCTAAAGAAATACGAAACATATGCAGATGACTTACCAGATAGAGAAAATGAAAACAGAAACACATGCAAAAAGAAAGAATACATAAATGAAATATAAAGTTTATTTCAAAGAACACTAAAAGGGAATTCATCCATTTAATTAAAGTAAAATAAATAAATATATAAAATCTTACTCTGATTTACCCAGATTCAACAATCATGTTTCAAGGGTATGAACATATACAAATTGAAACTTTTATATGAATGCAGCTTCAAGGTAAGGGAAATGTGGTTTTATTATCTCAATCATAATATAATCTTGAATCTACATATACATAATTGGGGAATATCATTTTAATCTAAAAAGACATAAAGTAAACTACACTTAATCTGTTTCTTCTGAACTCATGCCTATGAAAAACTCCAATTCATCTCTGTCTAGCAAACATCTCTCTGATATTTCCTCAGACTAATTAATACTAAATTGATATAAGATGCCTAGAATAGTTGCCTTCAGATTCAACTACTACTCACAGTCTTATCACTAATGGTTATCTCATACTACTTCCTATATTATCTTGTGCTAAATAATACACCTAGGCCTACAAAGAGATCTAGAATTAAAGAACAGGTCTACAGAGGCAAGAAAAACAAACAGGGAAAACTCTAGTTACCCCACCCATTTTCCCCTGCAGAAAAACACAGGCAAGCACAGGGCACACGAAGCTGGACGCTGTCATCAACAGGATTTCAAGTGTATACATGCCCCACACCCCATGTGATCCACATTGATAGACTCAGGCAGTTTTTTCTTAGATGGGCAAGTAAAATATTATGAGCAACATTCTTGTTCAACGTTCAAGTCACACCACTTGAGATTCTCAGAAATTTGTTCTCCTTACAGGTTTTTATTACATAATCGTCACAAATCAAATACTCACAAGCCTGAAGGCTCTATCCTCTTCCCTCCCGCCCCAGGAAATCTCAAAAAACCCAGCCCCCTCCAGGTTGGCAAATTGCTGATTTCACCTCAAATCATAAAATAATACAAACTTTGGATTTCAGGAAAACGGTTGAATCAATCATTTCAGAACTAAGTTATACATACACATTTACGCAGGCTGTAAAAGAAACCATTCTAAAATTGTTAGCTTTAGTTCAATCGGAATAAAAACAGAGTGGCCTTGCAAAACTTACGGCTAAATCATTACAGAATTATGGCCACGCGAACAAAATGAATAGGCTAATCTACAGTGTGCTTTTTTATAGACCTCCTAGATTAAGAATCCAACATAAAAGTAAGCATACTTTCTGAAAGTACCTGGAGCCCAAGCCAAACTACGTTAAACCTCAACAATACTTAAGGTGTTTCTGTGATTTTGTAACTATTTACAGTTACAATTAAAATAAATTTTGGTTTTAAATAGCTCCATTCTCTTGCACTGTGTGTGCATGTCTGTGTGTGTCTGTGTGGTGTTCTACAATACCTGCGCTTCTAAATGAAGCGACTAGCTCAGTGGCATCACAGAAATACAAAATGGAAAGCCTAAACTAAAACATTAACAGGACAAGGTAAGACTTTCCTGTTCACATGTCTTTTGTTTTCAATAACCAGAAGCAGCTACACCTGTCTATAGACAACAGTCAAACTGTTGTCTATAGATTAGGATGAACGTGCAGAATACTTGGGTTCCTCTGGCAAGCTACAGCGCTGTTCATTATTTTCTCCTGACCTTTCATTAAATATTTTCCTAATGTCACTTTCCACACGGTTTTATGGATAAAGTTAACAATTATCTACTAGCCCTGGGTCAACAGAAATGGATGTGTCCATAAAAAACTAACAGGTTATGGTCCATTTCAAGAAAAAGTTTGAGTCCTGAACTGCAGTTACTTAACAGGTAAGCAATTTTTTTTTTTTGTTAGCATGAATATTTTGTTCTCTGTAAGTAGAGGGTGCATCAGCAAGCAGAAGGAGGAGTGGGAACTGAAGAATTTTGTAAATTTTTTTTAATTATTTGTATTCATGCAAATTAACTTGAGTCCGATTTGAATCCGATGAATAGTTTGCACACTGTTCTCCAGAGAAGACATTTAAAAAGCATACCTGTTAAATATGTTCTCACTTGCAGCGTACTTGTCCAGTCTTCCCAAAGGCGTCAACATTTCATCTTGTGAGACAAAGTCCAGGGCTGAAGGTATAATAATCACATCAGACTCTGAGCTGTAGTCATCCACACCAACTATCAGAGACATCAGAAATATTCCTTATAATCACAATAGTTTAACACTAAAATGATGTCTGTTGTTGGTTTGAGATACAGAAGCCTAGGCAAGGCCCTGTTTACAATGTACTTACTAAATACTGCACTACATCTCCTCTGATCATTTCCCCTAGCTTCCCCTGACCACCATCAAGCCTTTTTTTATACAAGAGCGATTGTCTGTAAATTGGACTACGTATCTTTCCAGTCATTTTCTCTAGATTCCCAAATACAATGTTTGATTAAACATCCGAGGCTCGTGACGTTTTTGTCTGTAAAAGGCAAATGACTAAGCTAACTTTAAAGTCAGCTTTTTGAAGACACTCGCGCTAAAATCACAGCTGCAATTAACCCACAGATAAAAATTTAATATAACATTCTCTAACAGAATAAATAGGAAGTTTAAAAAAATCTAAACAAAAGCACACAAAACATAAGTTCAAATGTGCGTTGTTACATCCGACTATCAAATAGAATAGGTACGATTCACCTATTACATACTCAGTAATTACACAAACCCATACATAAATAAGCAACTTCATATGAACAGACACCTTTACGTAAAACCATAACATTGTGGAAAAGGGCTCCATCCCACCCCTGCATAGTTGTTTGAAGGATGAAGACTTGAACTACCACCTTTGTTAGCTTCCACTTGCCCTCTAGTCTGCTTGACAAATGCAATCACTTACTTGCAAAAACTTGCAATTACAATCACTCATTTGCACGAATTATTTCAGGTCATCTGGCTTTCCTCCTGAAAACACAACACTACAGTACTCTACAACTGTTCTTCAGTCACATTTCTCTGAAAAGCCTTTTGAAAACTGGCAAACAGGTAAGAGTCCAATAATGAATTTTGAAACATAAGATCCATGGAGGAAAGAAAAGATTATTCTCTTCTCACCTTCCATACAATTATACTATATTATGTAAACTGGTAATCAGACATATTGTATCATTTTCTTCAATATTCAACATTCAATGCAGGCAAGCAGATACAATTTTCTAACTTCTTCCTTACCATGCTTCAAATGTGAAATTGTATACATCCAGCTTCTCTAAAAGAGTACTGTTTTCAGACCTAAACTGAGTTAATAGCATTCCTTTACCTACAAAGTAATTTTCTCATTTTCTAACTGGAGAACGAGTGGACATCGTGTAATTTGCCATAAATAAATCCTATCCTTGGAGGAGGGTTCAAATTCTGCAGTTGTTGGTAGTACATGAAATTCTTGAGATAAATCAAAGAGGCGAGAGGCAAAAGAGCACGGCACGCTGACAGAAGGGCGTAAGAAGAATCTGGGAGCTAGGGGAAAGGAAGATGAAGTGTATCAGCAGCTGGGAGAGTCAAAGTAGGTGGAACAGCAGCTGGGGGACAGAAACTGGTGCTCTTGGAGATGTTTAGAGGATAATAAATGGGGGGAGCGGGGGCAGGAAGGCTCAAGAGAAGGTCAGCTGCATAACCCAGTATTGCAGCACAAAGGGGAAGCACTTAGCAACCTGCTGTTTACACAACTGTTTGAACTTGTGTTTGCCCAGACCTGAGGAGACCGTCACACAATTTTTTTTTCCTCTCCTTCAAGAATCAATTTTATTTTCACAGGAAGAGGATGGGGGAGGGTAAAGATCACTCATCATGCAAATCAGGATTTTATGCCAAGTAAGTTAACAAGAAATAGGCTACTTCCTTTCACAGGCCTTTAATTCAATCCATCAATTGATTTGAAACTGATCTCAATCAATCTGAAATTTATTTTTCTTTGTCTCTAAGTATGCCACGTTAGTATGCACCTTTCTTACACACAGAAATCTTATTGTTGGGTGTGAGATCCTAGTTTCTGAAGGCTGATATGCTTCAAAAGCCAGTGAACACATTCATACAGCATCCATATGTGATGGAAGTTGCACATGAGTACTCCTCATTTCAGGAAATGGATTGCGTTAACTTAAGTTTTATGATACCACAATAACTGTATCTTGCAGAAGGCAATTAAACCATTGCACTTGGATCTATTTCTAAACTGCAGAACTTCAATACAATTAAATGTGCCACAATGAATTGCATGGGGTGAAAAAGGTTCAACGAATTTAATTCTATGACAGGGTCTAAATCCTATTTTAAAATCTGTAAATCAGACTATACACTTAAAAGCATAAACTGAGGAAACTATGTCAAAATGTAGTCCCTGACACAGTAATTGCTATTTAGCTATCATTCAGTATTCCCAATGACATTGAATGCATCAATAAAAAAAATATGCTGACCATTATACCAACCACCACTAGTTTTTCCTCTTTTGGCTTTTCCTCCTCTATTTCTCTACTCCTAACCTCAGCTTTGTGTTGAATGTTCCTTTTTTTTGTTTATTTTGTGTCTCTATTCATTACTGTATAATACTCCTATAGTGGTCCAACTGAAGATGCCATCTTAAGACACTGCAGAACGTCATGATTTCATGTATGCTCAATATGTGCCTGAACGCACAAACTCACACTGAAGTTGGCTGGCTAGCTGACGCCTTTGATTTAGTTAACTGAATGTTGCGATAATTCTTGCCTTGTAAAACCAGGTAAGTCAACCAAACTGCTAAGTCTACTTTATATTAGATTTAATATCACAGTGATAAAAAACATGAGTAGCTGCTTACAATTTACCTGTTCCAGGTCTCACACTGGTTCAATTAGAAAATGAGCCAGTATGGACTTGGCTCTGCTGTATGTGTGCATCAGAAAACTAAGTTTAGCACTGCAGGAAGCTTGACTTGCCAGTCACGGATGCTGAGCAGTATTTATTACTTAAATAATCACAGCATCTGAGGTCTTAGTTACAGAAGAGATTAAAATGATGCTGCCATTTGAATAAAAGCAACACAAATATCAACAGGGAAGAGAGGGGTGATAAAAATATATTAATCTGTACATGAACATTTTATAGTTACAGAAAGTACTATTACACAGTGATGTCACACATTTTAGTTTCACTTTCAACATCAATACACTGATCTAAGCTGAAGGGAGCATTAGCCCAGTAGAATTCCCACACTAATAAAATCCCTCAGGCAGCTATTTGTCTTTAACTTGCCCCAAACATGACTCACCAATAGTCTGACCCCTTCTCATCCAAAACGTGTCACAAGCATATTTTATGTTACTCAATAAACCTAGTCAGTCCTGATACTCCCTATACTTCAAGGTTATTCCAAGACAGCTAGCACTCAAAACAAGACAAGCAAAGCATGTTAGCAAACATTAATTAAAGTATTGCCTCTCCAGCCCTCTCTGCTTTCCACTTAGCCTTGAGTGCTCAAATCTGAGTACCACAGTACTTTTCGTGCTGTAAGTTTTACAAAGGAACAAATGCAAAAACACCTCTGAATTAAGACGTGGCTTGTTTAGTGGACACTTTACAAACGCGAACGTCCAGATTCATTCTCGTTTCAGAATGTAGACCAAGCAACGGGGCTACACGTTACTTCTCTCTCCCGTTGCAGAAAAACTTTAGGTCGCTTCCTGTAGTTCCTGTCCTTCTTCAAACCTGTACAAGTCAGTCAGGACCAAATGCTCAGAAGGTATTAAAGCTCACAGAACATCACCGAAACTAACGCTAGTTCAGTGCCCAGGTATTCATAGTCTGGGCTTACATTTTCACGTCAACATGCAGAAGAAGAAGAGTTAAGAAACCAGGAGTTTCTGTAAAACTGTCCTATCCTGTACATTCAAAGTAACTGGTGGTGGTGGGATGAGGAACAATAACAGAGTAACAGTGCAAAAAGTAATCACAATACCACTATTTTCAGCCCACATAAGCACCAAAGTAGGATAAAATGAAGAAATGCATTAATTTACCTAGATTGCTTGCGTTTGTACTGAGTAGTTTGCAATTTTCTCTTCAAAAGTCTACACTACTACCACTGCACACAAGCACCACAGCATAACAAAATAAGCACCAGACTGGTAGTTAAATTTCATTTCAACATCTGATTCTACCACTGACCTTTGATCACAAGCCAGGTCATTTCTTCTCTCTGCACCTTCGTTTTCCTGTTCGGTCATTTGTCCGTCTTGACTATTTTTAGTACAAGTTCTTCAGGGTTCCCCATCTCTCTTGCATCTGTTCCATACGGTACCAAGAATATGTTCACACACATGCATCCCTCCTTAAATTCTCCTGTGTTCTATTGCACAGATGCAACAATGACTTGCCACCGTTATTAACTAACGTGGACCATACAGCCATCTGCTGAGACAGACTATGCAGAGAGGCACTCAGTCAACGAGGGACCAGCCCAGTTGAGAAGTCATACAGCAACAAAGCACAAGTCCATCTAAAACTCAAGCTACCTAAAAAACGACAGCCTACAAGCCAATTTTCAAGTGAGCTAATTTTTATACTACATATCTCATCTTTACAGTATCTTTCAAAAAAGCTTGATCAGATTGCGTCTTTGCCACAAAGGAGCACAAGATCACGTTTGCAAAAATAATTACAATCTTTCTTTTGCTTAATAATACATGAGCGACTCTCACACCATAGACTGTTTGGTAGCGAGGCTAGACATACACTTTTTTGAGTTCTTCTGTATCTGTTACGGGCTCCGTGGCATTCATTTTAATGAGCAATTTTTCATTTATCAAAATCAAGCAACAAATAACTTTAAAGATTCAAGATCTCCACCTAGCATTAAGTTCCCTCATTTTATCTTCTGCATTTCCAAAGCATTCTCAAGACGTATTAAGAAATCTCTACAACAATTGCTACAGGTAAGTCCGAATAAAAAGTAGTCCGTTTTAGGACTAGTTTTTATTCAACTGCAGCATAGGCTATTTGTTACACTCTACAATGACTGCTGCAATAAGGACGTCCAGGTTAATACAGCACTCCAATGCAGAAAGGACCTATTTTTGTTTTGCTGCTCGAGCAAGGAATTTTTCAGTTTAATTCTAAAATGAAAATAGTAGCTCTACGAGTGCAAACATTTGATTTCGTATCCCAACATAATAGCAGCAAGTTTTGTTCTAAATTACCATCCTCTATGTTACGAAAGAATAAATTCACCCTGCATTCAGATTTCTTTAGAACATAAGCAGCCTTCTCAGCCCTTCAATGTTGTAAACACATTATTTTTCATCTCATTTTCTGCAAGAGATGATGTCATTCTGCATCGTGATATTCTGCAATGGGAAATCCACGGCAGCAACAATAAAATTTTTAGTAAAGCATGGAAACTAAACATCTGTATTTGTCCACAGTTAGAAATTCCTTACTCTTGCTCTTTTGCTGTGCCCTGTATCCCACCTCCAGTTCAGCAGAGTGACATCACAGGCCAAAGCATCAGTCATGCTACGTCAGCTTCATTTACTACCACAAGTTTACTGCACTGCTTCAATAACATTAGCCAAACACTATAACAATGACAGATATATACATATTACAAACTATGTTTGCAATACTGAGTTCCACCACCTTGTCTGCCTGATCCAGGCAATCAATCGCTGGCGATTACAGACCCCACTGTCAGAAAGTAAGAGGTGATTTTTCCAAGACGCATTTAAAATCTACTATCTCTATTTTTCTGCTGTAGTCCGAGAGCAAAAATGCAAATGAGATGCCACAAGTTTACCTTGATAAGAGTGAATGTTTATGGTGAAAACTGCAACTCTGAACAACGTACGATTTTGCTCGTCAAAAGCACTGGACAGGTAAAGAGAAGTATACAAAGGATCAGTAAGTGATAACCGCAGATTCCAGACTGGCCAGCATATTAGCACAAGTAAGGACCACACTTCCTTTTCTCTGCCTCTTCTCACAAATTCCCCCTTTAAACAGGGAGCACTGTCCTGACTAGTAAGTCACATCTGCATGTGCAAACTTCTTTGCCCGCATTCAAAATTTCATGGGTTTTTTTTGGTGGGGGGGGAGAAGGTAGGGAAGAAAAAGCAGGAGCAAGGAAGAACACAAGAAGAGGGAAATGCAAGCCAGCCCTGATGCAAAGTTGCGTGCTAACAACTGAGCTTACCACATTAGACCCTGTGCAGTACTTTCATAGCAGAACTTGCTAACGGCTTGAAGCACAGATAGAGCAAATCCATTAAAATAAAGCTTGGGTATAGGTTTTACTGTGGGAGGAGTGGGTAAAGGAAAGATGCAGGACTCAAAAATCTGTAGTTATTTACACACAGGCCTTACACAAGTATGGCACAGCAAATCTAAATGAGCACTAGACCAAACATAACGTAGACTAAGAGAACACTTTCATTTAGCAAAAGCTTTAAATAGAAAAAAAATGCAGTTATAAAGCATGCCAAAGGAACTGCATTTCTCATCCAAACATCAGAGGAAACAAGGGGTGATACCAGATCCTTTAAGCAACAAGGATAGGTGTAACTACAGATACATCTGTCTCTTCAAGGCATACACAAGCAGCACTGAAAAGTTCCGATTTGCTCTGAAAGAAAGGAAAACTTGTTCCACCTCATATTGTTCACTAGCTATTAATTTGCACAAGAGTGGAACGTACATTCCACTGGTTAATGGTCTGATCTGCAGCAAAACCTGCTCCAAAGGAAATTGAAACAAAGAGAAGGACATCCAAGCTACCAGTTAAAACAATCAACAATTTATATTTTGTCCACCAATTTCCTGTTGGGAGCATGTCACACCCATCACCATGGTATCCAAGTCCCCTGCTATTTAAGTCCCCTTCGCTTATCCTTTCCAAACAACTGCATACAGTTAAGAATCCTGGAACAAGGCTGGGACCAGGTAAAAGTCAGATAATGCTAGCAGGAAGTAGTCTAAGGTTGTTGGGTTTTTTTCCTCCTCTGGAAGTTCCCTGCAGACAAAGGTATCCACCCTCAAACTGTGGAGCACTGTTGCTTCTTTTTGATTGCCCTACGACTACTTGAGCATTTTGCAGCTTTATGCCGAGAATCCTACTTCCATCTTCAACTGAGACGTTCTGCCCAGTCCTGCTGCAACGGAACCCGCGCATTCACAGAACTGGGAGCAGCACTCGAGTTTTGCCCCAACTCAGCATCTGTTCTACGCAAAAACATCAAGTTCCAATTACCCATGCTTTGAACTTCAAATAACTGGGAGGGAGAGTATTATGAAGTAAGCAGTTGAAGCTCAGATGCTTCAAGGGCTTGCGCTAGCTTTGCAACGGTGATGTGACACCCTGGGTTACAGCTCATCAGCTACTTAACCCAACTGTTCTACTTCATTCACGCGCGCTTACTTTTGATCAAGTCTGGCTAGCCGTAGTGCAGTATCTGAAATACGCTTACTTGGGCTAGAAGCTGCAGAGGAGACAAGCTCTGTGACCAGCAAAGCCATAATCTATAAAATACAGTTTTGCAAATATAAAATCATTTTCCATTTCCCAACTGCCTCTCTCCTCTTAAATCCCAGATAATAGTCTTCAAATTGTGCTTGACAGCATTCCAAGGCCTTGGTGGGACATGTCCTAGTGTTTCCTGAGCATTCAGAGGGGAAAATTCGTAGTGCAACTCTTCACGCTTTTCCTGTTTGTGTTAAAAGTGTAAAGTGTAAAACTAGGAGAATATTGAAAAGTAAAGAATGCATTGGATTCACTCTTTAAAAAAAAAAGTAAGAACAGCCATGGGCATCAATTTCAGAATTATTTAATGTAGGGTTTTGTCAATACAGCATACATACATGCACATACAAGTATCCCTACAGACTAATCAAGCTATTTATCCCGCAGGCTAGGGAGGAAGGAAAAGGTGGTCATTCTTACATTCAAATTCTCAGAGCCATTCAGATACTATGGCAACAAGACATAAAAACACCTAAGCAGACTTGTTCATCAGAAAAAATAGTTCAAGAGTCTGTGTTATCATCCGTATAGAATGTCACTTTCATAAATTAATATCTCTAGTTTTTACAAAAATTATATGAGAATAATTCATATTTATTGTACCATTTGCCTTTCATTTTTGTTTACCTTTAAAATAATAATTATTACCAAAAAATCATCAGTACTCTCAACTCTCAGTGTAGTTGCTCTGCTGTTGCAAATGGCAAATAAAAAAAACTCTACTTCACAAAAGTATTTTGATGCCTCTTTTGACCCACGCCATAGGACCAGATCTTAACACACCATTGGCAGAAAAGAAAAAATGCACCATCTCAGTCAAGCAGACAAAGAAGCCCTGATGTTTTGGGTTCCTTTGGGGGCAGCTGTCCCTGGCTCGCTCTTTCCAAAGACAGAACTGTTACTCCAGCTGTCACAGCAGAAGATATCACTGCATCCAGTTCTGCTGCTGCTACAAGTCGTTTCTTCAGCTACTACTCTTAACACGAAAACTTTCTGCCCACACAGAGGGAAAGTCATAGCAGCAAAAGACATACAGGAAAGTGAGACATTTTATCTCCAACATGCTGCAGTCTGCCACCTCCACAATAGGTCAGCAGGCAGAAACGACTGCATGAACATCAAGGTTTCCACCTTAAATCTCAAGATTTTGAGAACTTCCATGTCTTTCCTGACTCCTTCCCTCCTCCTTTTTTGAGCTTCTTCTCCAAATGGGGAAAGAAAGGTAGAAGAGGGAGAATCCCTGTAGCCGTAGGCAAAAATTAGGGAACAAAAAAGAAAAAAAAAGAAAGAGAAAGGGGGAGCTGGCAACCTTACCTGAGGATTCTCACCAGAGACAACACCACAAAAGGTAGTTGGTAAAAAGCATATTTCCACATCAGAAGTGATGCTACTGGCCTTGGAAAGCAGAAACCCTGGAAAATTACCACCTCTTCAATCCTCTGCTAGGTGTAATGGAGGAAAAAATGTGCAGCTGCATGAGGAAGGTTCATTAGCCTATGTCAAATCAAGCACAACCCTTTTCTCGCATCACCTCCTTGTCTCTAGCATCCTAGGAGGTCGCTCGAGAAAGAGACTAACCATTATCCACCTGAGACCACTAAAACCAGAATTCCATGGGGAAACAGCTATCCACCTGAGTCTCCTAGTTTCTTTGAGGGAGAGTCACCATATTAAAAAGACAAATAAATGAACTGAAGAGTCAGGAGAATTAAAATGTTATCTCTAGGGAAAACAACAGACTTAACAAGTATGCTTCATTAGCATTAAAAACTGATTATTAGATTCCCAAACGAACAGAATCACAGTCACACTAGAGACCTGATTCTGAGCACTACAGAAAGGCTGCCAATAATTTGTGTTAATATTTCTGCAATGCAGACATTAAATATTGCATGCTACTGAAATATCAACCCAGGAACTCAGACCATCTTAGTGCTCTCTCACCAGAGAGAAAAGTCTCTGCTGGGACTAAGAGATCAGGCATTCTAATGTCATGTCAAAAGTTTAATTACACTAAAAGCCAGAAACAAATCTAAGAAGTGATCAGATTTGCAGTCCATACGTAACAATAAATAGCATAAAAAATGTGGTAATTTCTGTTCTGTGGTAAAGCAGTACGAAGGAACAAAGGAACTACAAAACAAAAGCTCCTGATATTACTATGCACAGCTGCTGGAGAGGTAAGGTGAGTTTTAACATATAAAACACACGTTATCCTAGTACACAATGCCTAATTCACTGCAAGAGAACAAGAGCCAAAACACAGCATCAAACTGTAACTGTGATTTGACACCACAGGGAAATACAGAAAACAAAAGAAACTAAAACTTTTAACTTTCAGTATTATGAAAAATTAACTTTGAAAATTAAATTGATATTAAGCATTTCAAATGAAAATTAGCTTCTATTTGAAAGGATTCTTATGTACTACACAAAATATAATAGAAAAATTTAATTAAAAGCATTCAACCAACACAAACTCACTGCTAGTGCTGGATGATTTTCTGAGTAACTGAGACAAGACCATTTCACCAATGTCAAATCAGCTTTTGACATCTGCAGATGCGCAAAGACTATTTTCTTCGACTCAGCTAAATAACTGGTTGACTCAGAGCTGAGAAGCCTACTGGGAAGAAAGGCTAGAAAGGCCTGTCCTCCTTTTCCAATCAAAGGAAGAGAACTACGCACTAAAAAATGCTAAGCGCTAAAAGCTGCTATATTATATTCGCTCTAATTTTCAAGTCTTTAGAACTATTTGTTTACTCCATTAGAAAAATACACACCAGTAACACCATCTTTGTTAAATTTAAAAAATACCTTACTGTTAAACTGTTATGATATGGAAAATAGGGTTTTATATATATAT